CTCCAGCCCCCCCGCGACCCTCGTGAGGATTAAGCGGTGTATAGATAATGGATGGATGGATAACAATAATAATGAAAAAAACTGCGCCAGATGACTTAAATAACTATGTGGCAAGAATTAATCAATCAATTAATCATTCGGGGTGTGTTTCTAGGGGAGTGTATCTGTATTGAAAGCAAAATATAATTTTTGAAAAGCCGGAAAAAAGCCAACTGCAACCTTTTACATATAGGGTAACGCTGGCAAAGGCATCCAAAATAGTTTTCTGGTGGTGATTTAAATGACAATACCAGTGACCTCGGTTGCCCCATGTAAAGCACTGCTGACAAAGTACCTGTTTTTGTCACCATCATTATTTCTGTGGCCACAATATTTCTATTCTATTGACATTGTGATTCTTTTTGCAACCGAATATTCCTTTTTAGTGTATCTCTCCTGCTCCTTGATCATTTTGCTGTGCATGTGTGGAGCCTGCAGGTCAACAACGTCCAGATCTTTTGAATAAATTCAGAAACTCTAAGAATCCTATATTATGCTCTATCACACACACTTCTTTTGGAAGTTAGTCGTGGAAAAGTAGAATTGCGTGAGTTTTGTTTTTGAATCAAGCAGCAAAAAAGTTGTAGCGTGTTGACTATCGTGCGCATCCACGTATCCAGTAGATCTAAAACTCTGCTAAACCAGTTATCCAATGACAACAGAGCACCAGGTTTAGATTGAATATATCTGTCTCTGACTCTGCTGAGGACACAGTAATGTTGAATCATTTGCACATCTGGCTGAGGTCCTCTTTTGTACTCTGGAAATGTGTATGCAGCTGCTTCAGTTTCAGGATTCTCTGGATCGCTGTCACACCATCACAGCTTACTGGAACTGAGCCATCTTTAATGCTATTAGAAATACCTGTGCTTTTCCTGCTATGTCAAAATATCTGATGTGAAAAAGACCCAGCTTCCATTCCAGTGTATTAGTTTGGCAACCATATGTTTATGTTGCACTAACACAGCTGTTTCACCTTAACATTAAAACACCAGGTCAGAAACAAAACTATCCACACTGCAGAGTGCAGTCTTACAATCATGTCTACTGAGGGATAAACCTCGTTTTTTTTTCATACTACAATGCCTGATGGATGCTTCCTGAATAGGTGCTATAAAGTACCACTTTGAGTACCACTATGGTAGAAAAATGCTATATAAGTGCAGACCATGAAGTAAACTGTGACAAATCAAACACTTAAATTCTACAGATGAAATACTGTTTTATTTATATCCATATATAACTTTTCTCCCCCTAAAACCTGTCTCTCAGATCAGTAATTAGTGATTTTTGCTGATATCTCTGTGGCTGCTAACAGAACTACAGAAAGCAAGAAAATGAAAACCACACTTCACATAAAAATGTCAGAGATAATTTTTGGGTATCTTTGGCTGAACTTCTACATACCGTTGCAACCTGCCACTCCCCGTCTCTCCTCCTCTCTCACAGCACAACAGCAACTTCCAGGCGCCAAACACTCCCCAGCTGATGCCTGATGGAGGCCCTACGTCCACCTCTTGCCCGTCCGAGGAGAACCAGCAGCCCTCTCAGGTTCCCCCTCAGCCACAGCCTCAGGGAGCCGCCCAGGACCCTGGAGGCTTCATGCTGACCCCCAACGCTCCCGTCCTCTATGGAGCCTCCTACAGCCCCTTTGAGAAACCTCCACCTTATGCCTGCTGCAACCTCTGACAAACATGCAGGGCATGTTGGAGAATGTCTTCACCTGTCAGACTGAATGTAGCACAGGACATTTCATAGGTGTAGAGAGGAAACACTCATATGAGCTTCACCGCTGTGTAGTGTGATTATATAGACACAAGTAAGTCATTTCCAGTGTATTTTTTAAAGGAAACATGCTTATTTACTTTCTTGCCGAGTGTTGGATGAGAAGATTGATTTCATCGTGAAGTTACAGCCAGCAGCTGGTTAGCTTAGCTTAGCACAAAGACTGGAAGTAAAGGGAAACTGCTTTATTTCACTCCAAAATACTATATTATCCAAGTAATTATCATTTTAAAGGTTCATTCCACCCAGGATACTACACTGTCCAAGTGCATATAGTTTTTAAAGGTTTGTTCCACCCAAATAGTGCATTCTGTCTTGCAATTTACCTTCATTGCTAAAAGTTGCATGCTGACAATTTGTTGAAATTTGTCAAATTCATCAAATGATGTGTACATGTACCATCCTGTCTCAAAATGTGGTCCTCAATTCAGTACGTCACTCCCTTACTTGTCCACTTCACTAGGTGGCGCTGTTACAAAAAACATGGGTCCTAGAAATGCAGCCCTTCAACTGCAGTCTCCTCGGTTTTAGTCGCGTCACTCAGCAACTCAAAATCTGATGGATCAACATGTTACATCTCAAAAATAAAGCCGTAAAGTGAATAAGCAAATTTCCCAGCATCACATCTATCCCTTTACGCCTCCAACTGACCACCGGATGCTGATGTATTTCATATTTATGTGTCTCTTAGTACACTCGACTGTGATCTGATAGTTGTGTCTGTCCTAACTTGTGTAGACTGAATCACAGGCCGTCTTGTGAATCCTCTCACTGTACTCTTCACTGTACAAGCAATTAAAAGGGCTTTCTTGAAATGTGAATTGGAGAGTAAATGATGCTCATGTTGCTGTTACTAAATCGTGTTTGTGTGAATAATTTAATGTGCACTTTACAGTCAATATACCGCTTGTATTATTGATGACGCATGTTAACTGCTGTTGGATGGGACTCTGTAGCTGCTATTAAATACATTACGTGTTAAACTGACACCTCTAAGAAATGCATACATGTGGAGTAAGGGCTTTACCAAGATCTCACATTTAGAGGAAGAGTTTAATGTTTTTTGATAATATGCTTATTTGCAGAGAGTTGGATGAGAAGACTAATACCACTTGTGCCTGTACAGTATATAAGAGGCCTAATATTATACATTATACACAAAAAAAAAGGGGAAGTGACGACAATATGATGTTTTGTGGACTTCCTGCAGTAGCTTTATACTGAGCATACACACATATAGGTGGTGTCAGTCTTCTCAACTCTCGAAAGAAAGCAAGCAAATGTATTTCCCAAAAATGCAACCTTTTTCTTTAAAAACTAGCATTAAAAGTACCATCAGTGCTACTGCTACTACCAGTTTTCACTGTATTATTTCACTTTAAAGTGAGAGTATGCAACTTTTGAAAGAAGAAATGACAGAAAGGTGTTTAATTCATAAGCTATAATAAACTCATTACTTTGTCTGGAATGTCCAGCAGCTAATGGAAGATGACAAATAAAAATATTAAGGTTAAGCTACAGTTTGATATATATGAATTTACGTGAGTATGTATAATATCACAGTTAAAACCCTACAAAATTCTATAAAATAGAAATGTACCTTAGCTAAACTGTATGGTTAAAACAGTATTAGTAATTAGGAGGATTTATTTGAATGATTTAAAAAATTTGAGTTGAAACCCCACAAAAGCACAAACAAAAAGCCCAACAAATTCAAAGATTCCCTATGAGCAGGCATATTTGTGACAGTGCAGCTATCTGTTTGGTCCAGTTGCTTGTTGCAGTGGATGTTTTCAGATTTAAAGTATGCACTGCTGTATAACCTTTAAACTTGACCGCATGACTCCACTTTGCTTATGCTGCTGTTTATCTCCTCATTGAAACTTGAGATCATGCCATTAGATGTTAAACAAGCTTGCTCTAAACTATACATTTTTGATTTTTACCTGCATGATGTAACTCATTATAGAGTGAGCACGCAGGTTTATTTTAATAGTAAGATTTACTTTATCATCACTTGTTTAGCAAACCTTGATATTTTTTAGCACAATGTTCAATATTTGTGTGACTATAGAGTACATTTTATTGTTGGTGATGGAGTCAGCAATTCCAATCCTGGATTCAAGCATAAGAAATTTACAGGAAAATGAATAATTGATGTGTTTCACTGATGAAAATATGACCTTTTAATATCAGCTCCACTGTTTTCTATTCCCTCTCTTTCCTGCTAATACAAACCCAGCATCGCCTACTGCTATTAGTTCATATTAAAAGGATCAAACTGGCAATTTCAGTTATGTTGTTGTGGTTCACACCGTGTGTGACTACTCCTCAAAAATATGTTTACAGAGGAAGAAATGTTATTTTTTGGCATTTTTGGCAGTGAGTAAGTTTTCAGTCATGCAGAGTGTAATGGAACAAGGAGCAGCCACAGAGAGCTGAAGGGCTACAATCTGCAACTAATTTAAAAAAAAACAGCTTTGGTTGCTCTTCAGTCATATTTCTGACAAGGTGTTAAAACACATTTGCTGTCACCACCTTTAACCAAGTTTCGCCAAAAGAACCAGTACTGAAATCTTAACATTTTCAAATTCAAATTTAGCAGTGACGACTCTTCTATTAAAAGGAGATCAAGAAAGTGAGGTTTCTTTTTGGAGTTTAAATTCCAAATACTAACAACTGATGGAGCGAGACAGGGCTGCGCAGTTGGTTAGCACTGTTGCCTCGCAGCAAGAAGGTCGCCGGTTCGTGTCCTGGTGGGTTCATGTTCTCCCCGTGCAGCGTGGATTCTCTGGCTTCCCCCCACAAGTCCAAAAACATGTTGAGGTTAATTGGTGATTCTAAACTGTCCGTAGATGTGAATGTGAGTGTGCTTGGTTGTCTGTCTCTAAGTGTATCCCTGTGATAGACCGGCGACCTGTCCAGGGTGCCCCCCCCCCACGACCCTAGTGAGGATTAAGCGGTGTATAGGTAATGGATGGGTGGACGGAGCAAGACATGAAAATCCGATCTTTGAACAGAACCACACAACATACAAATGCGTTTTTTGAAAATACAATTTTACTCTATGATGTTCATACAGCTGCTTTTATTTTTAAATAGGATTTTCACTGTCGAGGGAAGTAAAAACTCAAAAGGCAGACTTCTCTCAGCATTGTACACATACTGGCAGTTAAAAGTGAAAAAATAAAAACTAAAGAGAAGTTCAAGATACAACACATAAGATAAAACAAAACAAAACAAAATAACAGGTCAAGCTCTATATTCTGGCATTCATTCATCAGAGAACTATAAAATGATACATTACAAAGGGAAGTAAAATAACACCGGAGCCCTTTTGGCTTTCTCAATCACAATGCTCCTGACATTCTTTGTTTTGTTTTTTTTATTGTGTTTTTGATTTGCTCAGCACCTATAAAATAAAATTAGTCCCTAAAGATTGATGCTACTTTGATCCCTGGCTATTGCTCTTTCAGTCTCCCAACTCCCATTTTAAGAAAAGAATCACGCATCAAACTTTTTTTCTATCAGAAGCAGATGAAACTGACTGATTTTTCTATAACTTTGGATCAACGTAAATGTGCAGAAAACCCCAGGGAACATAAGGTAGTGTTTGCTTTCTGTCTTTTATAAAGCGTTGTACAGTCACATTATTTACATATTCAGTATATTACAGCGCACTCTTTTATATTCTCAGTAGCTTGTGTGGTGCGATCGATGCAGTGCTCGCTCTCCTTCGCGGAGAGGGCCCCTTCCTGTCTCCCTGTGCTTCTGTGGCTAATGTGTCGTCCTAATGTTGGTATGGCAGGTATTAACTGTGGCTGGGTGCTTCTGAGGGAAAGAAGGGGCCTTTGTGATGTATTTGGTGATTAAAGATTGAAAAGAGTGTCAGTCACTACTTCAAGAGTAACTTTGCGAAACACTCCAAAATGCACAGGTGGAAATATGCATAGTGTGTTCACTGCAATCTGAGATTTCACAAGGAGAAGAATCAGTTTTGTTTGTCGGGTTGTTACAGTACGGCACCTTAGCGAAATGATTCACCTGTTTTGAGGGAAGCTGTCAACAAGTTTGGGTTAGTTGTTCTTTTCTAGGCACACGGTTGATTTTAAGGCTGCAGGCAGACATGGAGTGCTTCGGAGAAAAAAAAAATCAAGAAAATGGCTTTACATTGCAATCCATTTCTACCTGCAACGATGTGCAAGGTTTTCTACAGAACACAAAGCTGTGCCTAATACCACGCCTCCACAAGAGGAGGGAATTCAGCTTTTCTGGGGCAAATAAGATTTATTAGTCCACATACAATTGCCAAGATATTATGCACCAAACACTCATGAAGATCTGAGCACCTGTTCACACATTTTCTCTGAGTAGGGCAGCTGATGTATAACTATTTATCTGGTCCCCATTTTTGACATTTCATTGGACTCTACATAAGCACTTGATCATTTCAAGCTTTGTGAATCTTACGTGAACTGGATGTAAGCAACATGATCACAAGGTAGTCACTCTGCCTACAAAGTTCCAGTCAGATCTGCATTTAAGCACAGGATGCCAGGTGTAGTAGGCTGACCCAAGACCAACCATTTAGCATTGATCTGGATAAGGCCCTGTGTGTTCTAATGGGCTTACAAGGCTGTGATACATGGGCAGTTTTTGAGGCAATGTTGTGCAGCATGTATTCCCATATCCTTTGCTTAGTACAGGGGATGTTGCTCATTGGCTGACTAACTTACCAAGTCATAATACTGACAATACTGTGAAAAGGCAGCAGCGTCGTCACAGTATAAGGACGGGGAGGGAGGGGGGGGTTGGTGGTCCTGGGCTAAGGCTCCAGCTGCACCATACTTGGTCTGTTTTTTTTTTCTTCTTTTTTTTTTGTTACATTCCAATCTAAAACATCTCCCCACTAGTCAAAGCTTTTATGACTTTTTTGAATCCCCATTGCCTCAACGAACTGCTTATGGATCGATTTTGGCAGACTCAAGCTCTGGTCACTGGTGGGAGTCCAGCAGGGGGCAGGAGTGTGAGCGGATGTCGTTGTGTTTGTGGATGGCCTGGTCCAGGTCCAGAGACCGTCCATTTACACTGACCTCCATACAGCCGCTGTAGGAGGCCGACACCAGCGTGGACACCAGGGAAACATCTGAGGGAAGAAATGACAACATGTGAGTCAGCAAACAAGATAGACTGTGGAGGTGTCCTAACTCTGACCTGATGTTTGGTATGAAAACAGTAATAATCAGTGTGTTTAATCTGTCAGATTCATTGTTCATCGTTGTTGTATAAAGGCACTGATGAGCTATTTAATGTACGAAATACTTATCATGTTTAAACGGTTCCTATCTGGGACCCTGTATTATTCACACAGTACAGAAGTAACAAGTACAGACATTTACAGGAAACAATCAAGTACATTGAGACACACACCCAGGTTAGTAATCATGATTCATTCACCGAACGAGATAACGAATTTTCATGACAAGAATGCTTTGCAGGCTGTACAAAACAGCCATTCAGAAAAAAGAGGACCCTGTGCTTCAGACCACTGATAAACTGTGTAGAATGAGCTTTTGATCAGGACAACTGAATGTCTAAAGGCTTGTGTGGCTTTGCAATAACAGTACACACTGTAAATTTTCTACACTCACACAGTTTAATCAGGACTAGATTTTTGAGAGAGACAAAATGTGACATAAATGCTTGTATTTTTGAATAACAGCTTTTATGAAAGTGCATGTTAAATGACAAGTGTCTCATATACTACAGATATCATTTTTCTGGCACTCCTTTTCGTTGTTAGATAGAGCTGGCATGATTAGTGAAATTAATTGAAAACATTTTGGGATAATAATGGGTAGAGTAGTCAATAATGAAAACAATTATTAGTTGTAGCCCAATTCTTAGTTGTGGCCCACAACTACTTCATTCACTTGAGTATAAAGTCATGACTTTAAGTGGCTCTACTGGTTTAAAGTATGAAATAGCTCCTCAGTTGTACTTTGTAATTTATAACACTGTTTCCTCCCTACAAAGTATAATTCCTCTGCATAAATTACATCCTGTAAAATGTCAATATAAAAGTACTTGTCCTCACCAGGGAGGCCTCCTATAAAGGTGCTGGACTGTGACAGGAGATCAGTAGGAACTTCCGCCTCTTCACTTCGTCCAGACTTGCCATCGACCAGTAGGACAGTCTGGTTGCCTGAGATTGTCACCTGGATTTCATGACTCTCACCATCACACAAGGGCGCAGGTGAGCTGGCAATGATGACATCGCCTACAGATACCAGAACAAACTAAAGACACAGAAGGTCAGTTTTTATATCAAACTCAAAGTGAGTCACTAAAAGCATATTATTGAATAAAGGCTGAGCAATAACTGACTCACATCTCGCCACTCGTCAGTTGTGGGATGATAGTCGGCCAGGGCGATGGAGAGAGGGACTCTGTCCTGGTGAACCAGTGCAAACAGCACTCCGATAGCAGAAGTTGGACGCAGGGTAAACTGGACACTTAGGTTCTGTGATTCTAAAGTAAGAACAGGAAGAGCCAGAACAGCAGGCCATGAACTTCATCAACAAACAAAGATGAGGTAAAAGTTTATGTACATGATGAGCGTCAACTCAGTCGTCCAAACAAATACAACAGTAACTAACTGCTTCAGGAAGCAGCAATTAGGTAAGTTATGTCAGCTCCAAACACGCTATGCAGAACACACGTGCATGCAGGCAGGCAGGCACGCACACACACACACACACACACACACACACAAACTGACCATAGCTGATGTTGAAGAGAGCGAAGCCTGTGCCGGGATAATATGCCCCTGGATCCTCGGTGCTGAAACACTGCATGTTGTCATTGGACCGAATGGTTTCTTGTATGGAAGTGTCTTCACCCGTCAGCCAGCGCCACTCCTTCATACATCCATCCAGACGAGGGTTCACCTACATAATATACCAAAAGTAATGGTAATTGAGAAATGTGTAAAGAACATCTACTTTTAATGCATACAAGGTATTTCAGGAAAGTTTCAGGACTGGTGTCACAAAAGATATATTTCAAATTCAAACTACAAACTACAAGTTTTCCCCTTCAAATTAATCCCCCTGGAGTCTAACACACTTTCCCAGCCTTCTCTGCTGCACTCCTGGAAGGATTCTTCCAGGATCCTCCGCTGCTCCGTCATCACAGCCATCTTGATGTCATACACGTCTTCAAAACGGGTCCCCTTGATGACCCCCTTGAGCTTGGGGAAGATGAAAAAAACATCACACTGAGCCAGGTCGGGTGAGTAGGAAGGTTGCTCCAGCAAGGCGATGTTCTTCTTAGCCAGGAACTGTCGGATGTGCAGGGCATTGTGAGCAGACGCGTTGTCATGGTGAAGCAGCCATGATTTGTCCTGCCACAACTCTCACCTCTTCTTGTGCACTGAATGAAGCAAACGCCACAGGATCTCTTCGTAGACGTGCTGGTTGATCGTCTGAAGGGGAAAACTGGTAGTTTGTAGTTTGGGTTTGAAATATATCTTTAGTGACACCAGTCCTGGAACTTTTCTGACACACCTCGTATTCAAGAAAATACACAAGCACATACAAACAAACACCTGATTGACGAGGCCGTCCTCTCTAAAGGGGACTCCTCCCACTGTGAGGTTGAGTTCGTGCATTCCTTTCTTCAGTGTAAACAGGTCACCGTTTACTGCAATCTTCATGACAGCCTCCCTGTCAATCTTAATCACCAGACTCCGCCCCTGCTCCTCCACAGAGATCTAAGTTGCAAGAAATGGGACATTTAAGAAGCTTTTAACACGGTAATCAAGCTAATGAAGACAATGTATTAGTGCTCTTGAAGACTCCTGACAAAAACCTCCAACATGTCTCCACTTTTAACAAGCTAATCTAGCTAATTAAGACAATGTATTATTGCTCATGAAGACCCTGACAAAAACCTCTAACCTTTCTCCACTGGCCGTCATTGACGATGGGTCCACTGCTGGTGACCCTGCTGACTGCGCCGTACTTCAGCTGCAGCTCCAGCTTCCCATGGTGCATTGCTAGCACAATCCAGGAGCTGTTTAAGTGACCACCAGCGAAGAAGATCACCCCCTCGTGATCGTAGGTACGGAAATCAAACTCTGCTGAAAAGCTAGGAAGTATGGAGCAGCGATGGAGAGGGTTGTATGTCAGTATATTAAAAGGTAAGGTGTGAAATAAAGGAATCAAGATAAAGGTACAAGGGTTGTACAGGAGAAATGGAACATTCCTTTTAATCACTAATTTTATTTTTGTTTTAGTGGGTGGCGTTTTCATTTCTCATCATGTTGTATCACTTTAACACTAACACGCCTATTAAACAGAAAGAAAGAGTCTACGAGGAAGCTAATTATTCTAAACTCACCCAGTATGAATCTTGCGACGAAAACGCAGCCTTACCACTGGTACACCACTGAACATGCGTCCGAGGTAAAGAGAGCGCGAGTTCCTCTTCAGGGATGGCGACATACAGGGAGTTATAGGCTGGTGGAGAAAACAGAGAAAAACACGGAGATAACGCATGTTGCCAATACAAAAGAAACCCAAACAAGCTGCAACATGAGTCATAAAGGGTTTCTGCAGGGTTCAAGACTGATGAAGATCTTTTTAATACCATGGAAAATGCAATTTAATACTTGGTTCACAGTCCTACCAGCCAAAATATGAAAGTATGATAGAAAATTAGTTAGAATTATAAGATGACTCAATAAAATACAATTACAAAGAGACAAAAATTACAGTTTTTTTTAAAATGTGTTTTTTAATGTAAGGAAAGAGAATTTGATGCTTTTTTGTTTTTATTTTTAAGCCCTCCATACACCTTATTCAAACAGAACAACAACATAAATTTTAATTCACACCTAACAACAAAAGGGGGTTTTTGAAATAGCTGGTCAATATGTAACACTGAATGTATTTCACCTTACAGCTCCTGAGGTCCTGCCCCAGCTTCATGCCCTGGCGACCATCACAGAAGCAACGGAAACTCCCCGGAGTGTTTAAACACTCCTCTGCACAAACACCTGCCTCACACTCATCCACATCTGACGAGTGACACAGAAGGTAGGAGGAATTACAGAGAAAGAGAAAGCAAAGTGATGACAGGGCTATAAAACATTACAGAGCAGTAGATGGTTCATAATGTTATCAAAGCCACATCAGTGGAGGGATATTAGTCAAAACATGAACTTTCAAGTTTCACAGAAAAACATTAGCTCCACAAGACTGCACGTCCTTCCCGTCAACATATCAAGGAATGCAAACAACACTTGAGTTGAGTGGTCTTTGACGTTGACTGGGTCGTATCTCCCCCTGCTAGACATATAACCTTACAAGGCCATGAGAATATTGGTCATAATGAGCGTTAATTCTCTGAGGAGGGACACTGAGGTTATGAAAAGTCTGGTTTCCACTGCAGAGCAAAACATGGCACACAGATGATTAATGGCTATGATTTAAGCCTGAAAACTTGTTTCCATGTTGTTGCCAACAGATCTAATGTTGTAGTTATTTTATCTTAATAAAATAAACGTGGGCCAAAACATCTGACATACTGTATCTAAGATCAGCTCTTGATTCCAGTCATTGAACTCCTAGGCTATTTGGAAGTAAGTTTAGTCATTTTACAGATCTTTGTAATGGTGTTTTGAGATCACTGCATGTACAAATCCTGGCCTGAGGTACTTGAGAGGACCAAAACAAGCACTACTCCAACCTGTGACCTTATGTTGTCGTTGTGTGACTATTACCATTTTAGCTTTAATCCATCTTATTTGCCAAATTTGGAGACATAAAGTCTTTTGACAATAACATTATATACCAAACAAAAGGTAAGTCCATGTATTTTGCTCCTGAAAGTACATTTTTCTGAAGGCATGGAGACAAACAGGACAACATTGGACAGTGACCTGTTACCTACTTGTAGAGAATTTCACCAAATGTCTTTGCATTCCTTTCTTGACCCCAAAACGCAGCTGCATCAAGTCCTGCTGAGGCTGAAGCTGCTCCTCAGTCAGTTCTCATGAAACTGTGTGTTTGTCTCTAGTATTGTGTGTCTGTTTTATTCTGTGTGGATGAACACACTTACCAACACAGCTTTTGGTTTCGTTGTCATAGACATAACCGACATCGCACAAGCAATCATAGCCGCCCTCCTTATTTTCGCATCGTGCTGTTCCACACACGCCTGTGTCCTCACACTCATCCACATCTGAAAGGTACAAAATGTGTTCAGCTGTGCAGGCGGATGAACTTCAACAGAACTAATACATCAACTCTTATGCTGGAAGGAAAAAACATCTTAAGGTGACTAAGTGTGCCTTTGCTCATCAGTGTCTGAAAAAAGTTTCAAAAAAAGACATAGGACATCTGAACTGTGTTAATTTGAGGAATGGGAAATTAAAACTAGCCTGTTAAATTCTGGTCCTGATTGGTTGTCCACTTGAATCAAAACAATAAAAACTCATTAGATTTCCCCTAAAGCTACAATAAAACTACATAAATAGACTGATTGTTCCATACTGTTGGACAGCATCGCATACAGGGTACAAACAGTATATGCTTGTTCCAGGACTTCACTGAAACTACGTCACAGTTACAAGGAAATAAATATTTACACTGAAGACATTTTCTGGAGGCACTACATCAGATGGAAAATTCAAGATGTCTCTATGATGAAACTTACAGCACAACTAGAAATAGGCTCCAAGAAAGGTTTAACATTCTTGTCTAATTTATTACCTAAGCTAATATTTCTTTACAGACTTACAAAGATGATCAACAATGCTGCCATGAATCGAAAATGGTGTGAATTTTTACACTTTGAGGTGGGATGACAAAAAACGCAGACAAAATAAGTTGTTTGCAGCCGCAGAACTGACATAATTCCAGTTGCTGGATTAAGTGCATCTGTGGTTTGCCGCTTACCATTACACATGTGGCGTCCTACCAACATGTAGCCTTGGTGACAGGAGCAGCGGTAACTACCCATAGTGTTGTTGCACTCATGGTCACACCCTCCATTTCGCTTGCTGCACTCGTCGACATCTGCAAACAGGATGGTAGTACAGTTGAAATGAATGCAGGAAAAACATCGTCATGGGCTGCGTCCAGTATTAGGCTGTTTGTTGTGTTGAGATTTACCACAGTAATTCCCGATCACATTGTACTTTTTAAAAAAACTGATTTTGAAAGTTTTTTTCAAAATCTGCGTGAAGTTGTAGTTTGATACGATTCGCTTGCTTAAACGCCCTATGAATTTGTACTTTGTCAAACAGCTTGCAAGTAACCGACACACTATGCTACTGTGGCTGAGTTTTGCAGCTGAGTGTTTAGGAGGAGTGCGGTCGTCAAGTGGAAAAGGCTCAGTCCGAGTCAAACTGAATCTGTTTTGGTTTCCTCTCACAGTAAGGTGGCAGGATGAGTCACAGTGGAAATGTGTGGAATGGAGGCTGTGCCATAAATCAGAGAAACATGTTCCTTTCTCCCTCAAGTGGAACTCGTGTGTTTTCCAGTTCCTACTTAATATTTGCTACATTTCCCTTCAAATGTTCACTGTATTCAGAGGCGATGCAAATCTCCCGTCGTATCTATACATAGTAACTTGCTTTGACCTCGGCAGAGGCATGGATTCACATCGTGTACTCCGTGACTGCAGTTCCCGTACATGCAGTTCATATTGACCTGACACACCATTCACACATCATTAATAACAGCAGCAGAAACAGGATATTAAAGATGCATGCTTTCAGTAACAGCTACAAGAAAAAAAGGAAACACTGGACACTGAGTTTAGCAAGGTCGAAAATATTTACAGCACCACTATGGAGATATACAACAGTATTGTTTAAGACCTAAATAACTAATGGAAGCAGTGGAAAGAAAGATGATTCTATCAGGACAGGAGTTTGCTGTCAGAATCAAGGTCAGAGTGATGACACCTACGCAGAAACGCTGAGTGTGACATTGAATGACAGTGCAAAAAACTTCAACCTCTGCTGAGCCCGAGCACACAGTGTCCAAATACATTTTCTGTCTCATTCTGTAGTGATGACATTACCTTTCTCACAGCTGGCTCCTGTCCAACCTGTAAAACAGTGACAGAGGAAGTCGCCCTTTTTGTCCTCGCAGCGCACCGTGCCTCTGGCATTACAGGGAGAAGGAGAGCACTGGTCTGGAATATCTTAAAGTGTGAGAAAGACAAAGACAGACAGAGTATTCAGTGTGATTAGTGCTTTCAAACTGAGTCTGCACAAATTGGATGCATACAGCGAGTGTAATTGTATACCATAGCAGACAGAGGAAGGGCATCTCTTATGTTCTGCACATCAGGAGTTCAATATTAATAGCCTAATGCTGGCTAAGCTTTTCTTCTGGAGATGTCTGAATTCAGTCCATTCCAGTGTACCTGTCCTTTTAGTTCTCAAACGACAAGATCAAATGTATGTTTAACTGTCTTTCAATTTCTGTTTGCTTTATTTCTCTACTGAATATTTTCACTTGAGCCCTCTCTTTCACTCCAAGCTTGTGTAAGAGAGTGTAAATCTTTTCTCTCCCCATATGGTTTCCTTTTCCTAGCAGTGGAGTTTGAGTGCTCAACAAGTCTGGGCATGTTAGCTGGAGTTCAGAGAGAGAAAGAAAAGGACAGTGCCTGGAGAAAATGAGAGGAGGAAGAGAGAGCTACGTTTACATACGGAACACAAAGGCACGACTTTCAAATCAGAGTATTTCTCACAAAACTACTTACTAATACTGCACCATACTTTAAACTGTGGATATACTGTGGGTCTTTTTCAAAAGTTCCAGCACTAAAAACATTTACATTGCAGCGTCAGGTTAAAGAGCTTAAAGAGTTAATGTATAAGCTGTCTCAGTCTACTGGGTATTAATTACCTTAACTAAAGGGTGTTTGTGCATATGTGTGGGGTTAACTGAGTAAATTAAATTAAAATAATACATTTTATTTAGAGGCGCCTTTCTTGGCACTACATATATTAGACAAATTGATTAAAAGAAAAAACATTAAAATAAGTAAAATCACTAAATCAAACAGACAGAACAATAGCCTTCAGGTGAAGTAGGCAGTCCTAAAGAGATGAGTTTTGAGTTGTGATTTGAATTGGGGGAGTGAATCAATATTTCTGAGTTGGGATGGTAGTGAATTCCAGAGACGGGGAGCAGAGCATACAGCTGCTCTGCTCCCCATGGTCGTGAGACGGACGGAGGGGACAGACAAATGTATGGAGGAGGAGGAGGATCTGAGGGAGCAGGAGGGAGTGTGAACATGGAGGAGGTCAGAGAGGTATGTGGAGGCGAGGTTGTGAATGGCCTTAAATGTTAATAAGAGGATTTTGAATTGGATGCGGAACTGAACTGGAAGCCAGTGGAGCTGCTGGAGGACAGGACTGATGTGGTGGATCGAGGGGGTTCAGGTTATGATGCGAGCAGCTGAATTCTGGACCAGTTGAAGTTTATGGAGGGACTTGTGAGAGAGACCAAAGAGGAGAGAATTACAATAATCCAGATGGGAAGTGACAAGACTGTGGACGAGGATGGCAGCAGTGTGGGGGAAAAGGGAGGGGCGGAGGCGATTGACATTACGTAGGTGGAAGTAGGCAGACCTGGTAATGTTATTGATGTGGGATTGGAAGGATAATGTACTGTCAAGGATGACACCCAGACTCTTAACCTGGGGGGAAGGTGAGACGGTGGAATTGTCAATTGTGAGAGAAAAGCTGTCCGTTTTGGATAAGATGGATTTGGTGCCAATGAGGACAACCTCAGAAATTACCAGCCAATTTTGAATTGACAAAGATGTCATCTAACTTAGTGCATTTGTAAAACCATCTCAAGAGTGATTCAGCTGATTTAATAATGATGGTAAAATGTTTGAAATATTTTACCAAAATAACTTTTAGGACAAGTAAATTCCCTTCAGTTGACTTGAAGTATGGAGCATTCATCTACATTGGCAATCTTCAGCACATAATTATGAGTTTTTGGCAACAAGAATCAAAGGTACAGTGAAAAGGAAAACATCTATATTACCACACACATGCTTGGCTTCTCTCTACCCAAGAAGAGTAGATCTTAAATAAATCCAACCCAAGTCTCCTGGTTAGTGACACTTTGCCACGTATAACAAGCAAGAACCTCACTTTTTTTCCTCTACTTAAGACTTTAGCCGCCTCTCAACAGCAAGTTAAAATTGTTGGGTCCCACCCTACAAAGTTTATACGAGCAGTAACAACTCTCGTGACATACAGGATTTGCTAGAAAATAGGATAAAATGTTTTCACGGGTCTTTATTTATCGATATTTCTACAGCGCAATTCACAGAACACTACAAACTGCTGACCAAGGGAATAAAATCATACAGCCAACACTGTCTGCTGTGCTTACAATCAAATTAGCTTTTGGTCTATCTTTCCATAATATGCTGCATTCATAGCATTCCATGTCTGTAATATTCCATAAATGGAATTAGAGGTAAGCCACTCTGATACCAGCATACCACCCATGGCTAGACTGCACTGAGACAGGAGGTGGATGGGCCAGATACAGAGGGAGAGATAAGAGGAGGAGTGGTGAGGATGAGATGGTGTGCTGACAGCTGGTGAAAAGAAAAAAAGCACTGCCGTATCTTTAAGAGGCACGATGCTGCAGCTGAGTCATGGAAACCCTCCCGAGAGATCCCTCAGCCAATAGCAATAAAGCCGGGTCGGTCCTGCTTCCCTGTATCCTGATGCAGCAGAAATCCTCTGCTCCCCTCACGTCAGACTGACTCTTTTCACGTCACTCCTCCGCTCAGCCAACTCACGAAGAAGCTGGTGCAGTCAGCCAGAGAGCGAGCGAGCGAGCGTGTGACGACTGAAAGGGGTGTGTCACTCACTCGCCAATGTGCAGCATCACCGTGGTGAAGTGCTGCAGTGTTACTCATAGACACCTGAGCTCACGCACACATGGCACACTACTTTAAAGTCACAGAATCAGTTAGGTGTGCATGCTGCAAAAACTGACCTGGAGTTGTTAAAGAAATTCCTGTGTTACTTAAAGAGAGCCTGAGTGTGATGCAGAGCACTGACACTGCAGTGCAGCACAACCCTGTAATACAACTAAGTGCCTCTCTCTGAATGTAGCAATACTTGCACAGTGAAAGGAAAGACAGAAAGGAAAGAGACAAGAGTCTGAGAAAAAATTTAAATGTAGGATTCAGTCCAACAATCAAGGTCCAATGTAAAGTCAATAGACAGATAACTGGAGATAAAACTTACTGTGGACACAAGTCACTAGATCCTGTTTTTTCTTTTCAGAATCTCCAAACGATTCCACACAGGCTAGGCAGAAGCAAAAGTGAAATTAAAATGCTGACAAACATGTAATCAGTCAAGTTGGCTGTAGTAAGCAGAGATGAAGGGTTTAGACAGAACGGTAACTTACCTAAATACTTGGGATAGAAGTAGTCCTAAATCAGTGAGGGGACATGGAAAAACAAAGAGCATAAAGTCACGCAGGCGTATAAACAAAACTCTAAACAGGACAAGATCATCTAAATAAATGCTTATAATTTGTTTGGGGCTTTCCCATAATACTTGACATAACTGGGATTTGGTTTTGTTTTATGCCTGATATCTCCGCTTACTCTCACGTGAATTCACAAACAATCATTAAATGTGGCAGTTGTTCATGTATCTGTGTGTGTTTGACAGAGATTAAGATATGATTCCTCTGTAATCTGTTCTCCTCCATCTAATGGGTGCAGCCCTTCGCCAGGGGCTTCCTGTGAATTCTCTGCATTCCTGACAGTAGTAGCATCCCTCCTGCTTGCTGGTTGCAGTACTCCTCCACATGTAGGTCAAAATTTGAGATGTACCAATGAAAATGCTGCCTCTGAAGGCACAGAGATTTGCTGCGGTAGGTGCAAGATGCAGCAGGCTTGTAAAGTGGCAGTCATCAGCCAAGAAATCTGCTGAAGCTGAAATTACACAATGTAAAGCCTGATTATAGTGCTGATTTACAGTGACAGCACATCTGGTTAAGATGCAGCGTGGTCCCAGAGCTGGTGAGGCTGTTACTAAACTTGATGTGAACATAATAGTCAGTGGTGCCACCCAGTTATTGGCTATCAGTCCCTCTTGAAAGGTCACCCAGCTAATCAGAGACTTTGTGTGATAGCGTGCGATGCCAAAGATGATCATGAGTACCCAGGAGTACCCAAGTCTGTCTCTCTGCAGAGCCAGAGAACTGCAGCGGAAGAAAATGCAGAGTCAGAGATAGGCCCTTTCTGAATGAATAATGCAGCTTTGAATGAGACTGCAGCTTTATGTCACGGCATGGTTAGCCAGCGTCACGAATACAATTGATATTCTATTGATGGCGTGCATGTAGCTCATTCAAACATCACCTGACTTCACCTTTTCCTCTGACCGCAGCTCAGCTTCACTTTAATCCTCCTTCTGTCAGTCCTCCTTTGCCTCTCTACTTGACTAATCTTTCAAGTAATCTGTGAGTCATCGATTGCCTCATTCACTCCTACTCTGCTACAATTCACTTCATCAAATCTTTTGGCATTATCGTGATAGTTAAAGGACACAATCTCGTCAGGACAACGCTATAAAATACAACCTTCAGGAACAGTTGAAACATCTATACCTGAATCTCTCACTTATAAATCAAACACTCAGATTGACAACATGCAAAAAGCATTCAAACATGCCAGGGTACACTTGTTGCTAATGATCCTAAAGGGGTTTGTGTATTAACTTGCACTATTAAGGGCCAACTATAATCTTCCTGAGAAAGTCTGCAATCTCAGCTTAAGTTTCATGTTTTGTGACACATCCGGTTATTTATATCCCTGGAGTTTGTTTACAGATTCAGCACATGTAGTACATATTCAATAGGCTTATGTATTCACATGGATGGAAAGGCTGATCTGTGTATTCAGAATGGAAACTAATCTGCAGTAAATGTTCCTAAGCACACGCACTGAGATGGATTTCATGTGTTGGTAAATGTCAAGTAGAAAAAGACGGTGGGAGCATGTAAACAGATTAGTGAGGCAATGTGCATGGCTGTGTTGACTGAAATACATTTTGCACCTTATGTTTATTCTCTAAGAGAAAACAGCTGATCTGTTCCCACTGAGGCCAATCAGAAGTAGAAAGGTTTGCTTGCTTAATTCACATACACTTGTATGTAAGGATATGTAAGCATGTGCAGCCACAGATGGTCAGTGCAGAAATGGAGAAAACATCTCCAGGTGTGCCCCACATTTGGCAACAACATAAGCCAAGTAGATCTCAATTAAATAGGGGCAATTATTTAGCAAATGCAAACCACACAAGTGACTGTCTGTTTGTGTGTGCATATCAGTATGAAGGGGGAGTGTTTGGATAGCAGTGTCTTCACTAAAACTGTTTTTCAGAAAACTTAGTCACGGTGACTCAATGTCTGTCACAGAAACAAACAAAAGGACAAGAAAACATGCCAAGTCCTTGACATGGGAATATTATGTGTGCTGACAGCTATCAGCAGGGTGGACTTATTGGAGCATGAAGACCAGCAGCCCAGACAATGAATCATTAATCTGGGGTCACTTTACAGTCATCAATTGGCAGTGAATACCAACATGATGTAAACAACCAACCTTGCAAAAGTTACGGTTTCTAACATTATCAATCTGGTAATGGGTTATAATTGAGTTTGTGGTACTGCAGCACTCAAGGTTTTGCTGCATGAAAAACTTTTTGCAGCTTTAAATGCACTCACCGTCTCCGGGTCGTTTTCAAACACTTCCCTGGCCTCCTCTTTGGTGCACCTTTCCTCCACGCACTCCCTCTCCAAGTGTCCTTGCTTCGTCTCCTCGAAAACTTGGTTTGCCCTCCTGTGTCTGCTCAGGAATTGGTTCGCCTCTTGAGGAGACAATGAAACTACAAGGACACACAAAAAAACCACGCAAACTTAATTAACCTACAGGAGAAAGAGAAGGTCAACCAACTCTGGGGTTTTGACTCGTGAGTAAAAGCGGAGGAAGGAGTTGCGAAACGTCCCCGTATTTACCGTCAACAGCGCTAATAGCGAAGACATCATCAGCCACAACTCAAATGTCAAAGGGGACTTAGCGAGCTAGCTAGCCACTTAGCATACAACTGTTTACTTACTGCTGTCGGACCAGCGGACTAGCAGCAGGATTAGCAGGGCTGCCGGTGGAAGGAGGGACTTTGACGGGGTCAACCGCATTGTTTCACCGCTGTGTTTTTGCGCCAAGCTTGACAAAACTTTGCCCCCCCTTTTGCTTTGGTTGTCTCCGTGTCCCACCTCTCCCTCTCTCTCTCTCCCTCTCGGTTGCTAGCGCTGGGGCGAAACACTGCAGGTATTTAGGTAAACTCGCAGCGAGCGACCGTTGGCCGTTAATGTGACGCCGCGGAGCGTCGAGGGCTCGAACCGCCGTGTTTCTCCCGCAGCACCACCTCTTTTCTCCCGCTGCAGGTTCAGCTCGTCCCCATTGCGGTCTCTCTCTTCCTCTCTCTCTCTCCCTCTCTCTGTCTCTCTCTCGCTCGGTGTACTTTCTGTGGTGTGCAGCTCTCGCTGGACCGGACAGTCTGCGGAGAAGCGACTGCACGCCTCTTGCTGCTTCTGCTGCTGCTGCTGGTTCAGGAGGGGGAGTAGCTCTGAGAAGAAGTGCGGGCAGGAGTTTGTGGTGATGCGGACACCTCTTCATCCCTCCTCCCCTTCCTCCTCCTCGGTGTGTGTGCATGTGTGCCACCATCTCTCTAGGAAAAAGAAAAAAAATGAAACTAGCACGCAATCGTACGCTTTAGCCATGCTTTCATGGTGCAGGGGCGCAGTGGTGGCAAGTAACTGAGTACTTTTAATCAAGTACTTTACACCAGTATTTCACATTTTCTCTCATTCATAACATTTTAAATATAAGATAATAATCATCATCATCATCATCATCATCATCAATCTTGCATTTAAAATCAAATGTAAGCATAACTACTCTCTTAGAGTGGTTTAAATCACTGTTAGTGATCGTTATTTAGCATGTAAGCAGCATTTTTGATCCTGCTGGTGGTTTAGCGTGCAACAATTTATCATATTGTAAGATATGTTTTGTTTGTGAAATCTTGATGCCCCCAGCAAGTAATATACAGGTATAAAGTTTTTTTTGTTTTTTTTAAAGTACCTTTTACGTATAGGGCTGGAATAGATGTAATAAATTAATTGTATATTTTTTGACAGCTACTTTCTAGATTATACAGTGCCACTTTTAATAGGGTTTTAAAGTTGTAACTAATGGCTAATAAATAACCTAATAATGCTTATAGATCAGCCTTAATTACAGCAAATTTGCTTACAAGTAGTAGCTTTGAAAATACAATAATTTGCCATAGATTTAACTACCTAACATTATATAAGGTTATTTATTATTCCACCTGATGGTAAATGGTAAATGGTCTGCACTTATATAGCGCTTTTCTACCTTTGCGGCACTCAAAGCGCTTTACAATGTTTCTCATTCACCCATTCACACACACATTCACACACCAATGGCGATTGATGATGGATAATGTGTATTTGTATCATAGCATTAAATAGTATTTCAAGTATATTTTACTACTGCTTGCATACTTTTACTTGTTTAAAATATTTCGACCAGGACTGTTTCTTGTAATTGAGTTGTTTTTTTGTTTTTTTTCCCAATCCTACATTGTGGTACTTCTGCATTTAGTGCTTCTTTTTCCACATTAGTTGTGTTATCAGTCACTATTACGCAACTTAAAAACCATTCCGGGCAGTTTATTTTAGACCCATATAAGGTTTCCCAAGTGATTTTTCTTTCTGTTTCGTTTACCCAGAATCTTGTGCAACTTTTTTTTTTCCCATTTTCATAATTTCATTTTTCTACAGTTTTGTCAAAACCTGTCTACTTTTTTTGTTTTTAAGTGCTTCTCCTCTGTGTCCCATTTCTGTATCCAGGCCAATTAGGGCTTAAGTGCTCCTTATCCACACAGTAAAAAATAAAGACCAAAAGTTATATTATTAGTATTGGTAAGAGATGTTGTCTTGTGCCTGAACATTATTTAAAATAATGTTTTATTATTACATTGTTTAAAAAATCTATCCTATAGAGTCTAAAAACTAACATTTTACAGTCTATACTAATGTATGTTTTAAATATGGATCCAAATTGGTTGATTGATTTCTAAACAGCATTATCCACTTTAGGGGTATTTCAAACAAATCTATGCATTGAATGAAATTGAAAAATTAAATTTTGATAATAGAAATGTGACAACTGAAAGTGGAGTTTAAAACTCGACAGAAAAAAACAAAAGTAGGATTCTGACAAAGTGAAAGGATGGTGGTTTGCGTTAGCCCCCACAAAAACCTCTAAATGAAGGAGAAATCCTTTGACGCTCAAAGACACCAATACCAGGGTCAAACAATGTTCAGTAAATGACAGCTATGTGTTTGTTGTGTCTGCAAGGACTTAAAACAAAAGCAGTGCTTGAAAGGCACAGTGACAAGACTAAAGAAGTGTGCTTTGTATGCTACAGTGTCCAAGATATGACCCTGAGTAAAAAAATCTAAACCTTGTTTTACTATTTTATTAACTACAAAACTGTCACTTAACAAAAAACAGATTTTATGGACTTCACTATATTATTTGATAAGCCAGAATATGCAGCATTATCATTATCATTGCAACATTTAAAACCATGAAAGTAATTCTAAGCACCTCCTCATCCTCTGAGAGAACATTTTACTGTGGCCTTGTTTATGGCAAAAGGCAGAAGAACACAATGCTGAAATTCAACAGTATCAAAACAAAGTTGCTTTGATACAGTTTTATTAAAACCAACATAAAATAAAACAAAAGACAGTGAACAACTACACAAATTTAAGTTATATATTAAAGATGGCTTGTTTTATATACAAGGTGAATTCTGAACACAGAAAAACCAGGACAGGAGAACAGCAGAAGCTGTAGATTATGAGAGAATACCTCTTGTGACAACCTTGGTGGTATATAATAAAACAATAAACCGTGTTTCTAAGTAACACTAAACCAATGCAACATCACAGGAATGCAGAGCTCCAGTTGTGGATGATGAACATGCAAGAGAACTGGATCAAAAGCCTGGAGGCTCAGCTTCCTTCTCTGTGTTTTTTTCTGCTACAACCACAATTTCAACTCGTTGTCTCCAAATGTCGAGAGTTTAGAGATAGTACCATGATACAGCAGCAAGGACAAAGACATAAGTGGTCTCACAGCCTGGTCAACAGTGACCATTTGTTTATTTTTCTACACAAATATAATCATCTGTTGTGCAACACGTTATGTGTGCTACAGAGCTCAGCTCTTCTTTTTGGAAAACATTGAACTTGTTGCAACAAACTGCTACAACTATGTCATCCAGCATCTGACTAGCTCACTGGCAAGTCTGCTTTCGTTGTGACTCCCAAAAAAAAAGAAAAAAAAATGCTCCCAGGGCAGAAACAATAATACTGTATGGATGAAAAGCATTACACAAAGCTTAAAATAAACCATCTACCTCTATCTCCTCTTCTTGTCACTTCTTCTCCTCTAGACTCTCTTTCAAAAATATCCCAAGAAGTGGCCCCAGTGGGATGCTGCCTAATTTGAGGCTTTTTAAAGTGGTGTGGTTGTTAATTAAGGTCACTTTCTGTGCAAGTGCGTTGCATCGGGGTGACTCTCAGGGGCCGAGACAGGAGGGCAGGAATGGGACTTAATGCTGTTATGTTTGCTGAGAGCCTCGTCGAAGTCTAGCTGCTGGCCGTTGATAGTGATGTCCATGCAGCCATGATAAAAGGCCGTCACAGGGGTGGCAGGTAGCGGGATGTCTTCTAAAATAGAGTGTGAGAGAACAGTACAGTCAGTAAGGATGACAGTAACAACAGATGGTCTAGTGAACTGTTTGAAGGACTGCCTGGACATTTGGTACAAAGTAAAAATAAATACTATTTTTTTAAAATCTGCCAGCAAGAATGTCCAAAAAAAGCATAAAATGTTGGATTACTGTAATGTTTAAAAACTGAAAAAAAGAGTTGTAAATGATTGTAGAGCTCTAAAATAACATTTTTAAAAAATAAATTATTTATTTAAATACAGTAGATAGTGTGCTTTAACAGTTACACATTGTAAAAGAACAAATTACAATTTCCAAAAACAGTTTTTGGATGTGAATATATCGTACAATTGTGCCAGCTCTGTTTTTATTTGTTGCTATCAACATGCATATTATTACTTTTTTATTTAGATTTTACTAGATATGCTGTAAAAGTACAAATTACCATATGTAGAAGTATAAATTGTTTATGTGGACATTACTTATAGTTCTGGTCCGTGTTTTTACAGTTAATATGATTTTTTTTTTCCTGTGATTTTACAAGTTATTTGTAACTCAACAGTAATGATTCAGTGATGCTTCTCTCAATAACCATTTTGATGATCCCTTAACTTTTAATCTATAGCAGTCATCTGGTCAAGCAAATGCTGTTTTCTGACCAATAAGCTTGCCAACCAATGACATTCCTGTTATCACAAGCTGTAATTTTGCATTCAGTGTTGTTTAACATATGTTAAAGAGCTAAAGTAAGATGTAATAATGAGTATAGCAGCATGCTGACATCAGCATTGGCAACTTTAAGTACCATTGTTCTTAAGTACAGCCTCACAGACCCACAGATGACATCAGCACTATCAAGAGGATAACCCATTTAGGTTGGCTTTGAACTTCTTTACCAGCATAAGGAAGCCACGCTGGCCTTTTTACGGTGACCATAAAAGGTACAAAATACTGCTTATAGTTATCTTGGGAGAGCAAGAGTTACTTTTGTACTTGCTGCTTTTACTAACCCGGTATCCCACCAATGTATGTATTGATGGGGTTCTGCATGGTGTTGTTGAAGCGCTCCAGTGCCTCCTGCAGGGCATTCGACTTCATATAGCTGACAGTGGATGAGTTGGCTGAGATCTGGATTTCTGTAGGAGTCACATTCAGCTGCACTGTCAGCTGGTCAGGGTAACACAACATCAGCGAGTCCAGCGTTACCACGGAGACGCCGTCCAAAAACACTTGCAAATTCTGGAGAATTAAGGGACATCCCATGGTTTAATCATGTGCAAAGACACGCAGAGCTACACATGTACACATTTCCAACAAAAGTATGAATAAACTCACAGCCTCTTCTTCTTCTTGTGTTACCACAGCGACCGACAGGGGGACCGTGTTGTTGTGGACAAGTGCAAAGATTACACCTGTGCTGCTGGATGGACGTATGTTCATCTTTACATCTACATTCCAGCTCCCAGAATCACCTAATTACACATACACAAGAAAAAAAAAAACAAACAAAAAAAAACATGTCTCTTGTCAGGTTGGAAATTTAGGCACTTTAGCAATTTCCCTGAGGTCTTGTTCCGAAGGGATTAATAAAGTTTTATTCTAATTCTAATCTCCTCATCTAAATTTATCTGTTCTATGGATCTATTATGATTCTTAAAAATTCCATAGTTGCATGTCTTAAGACTTCACTGTGAAATGTGGTAATACTAAAAATAATGAATGTGCATTACTAGGAGCACCTGTACACGCAATAATCCAATCTGCAACTCATATGGCAGCAGTGCAATACTTTCAGC